ATAGGATCGATTACATGTGCTATATTCATCCGTTCTAAAATTTTCCAAATGCCTGGGGCATTAAGAAGGGAAAAGGTCTACAATTGGATATGCCTAAAAGGATTAAACAATTGTCGAGGACGATCTAAGGTTTACCAAAGATTGGGTGCTCAAGGACAGTTGGAAGTATAGTGATAATTCTGGAAGGACCATATTGACATAATCTGTAAGGAGGTAGCTCTTGTTCAGAAGTGACAGTCAAAATGGAATCTGGAAATGTTTCAAAGTTAGCATTTTTCAATTTGTTTAAGATTAGGAAACTTAATGCAAGAACGATGTTTCTAAGGAGCTGATCTCCTTTGGAATGCTCTGTAATGGTTGTTGTCAAGTCTTTCTGAATTCGTGCATAATCATTACAATAGGATCAATGCATATAAGTTTAGAATGTAACAGATTTCAGTAAATCGCATGAATTTGGAATTCTTGCATTTGCAGTAAGGATTTGGGACTGTGAAAAGAGGATCATTGGAGTTATGTTCAATTGATCTAGTTCACAAAGTAAAGATCATAGACAAACATAGTATGCGTACTTGGTGTATGACATGACTAGTGTTTAGAAAACATAGTGTACATGCTTGGAGCATGGGACAACTATTGTTTTAAATTCAAGAATAAAGTTGATAGCAGAAACAATATACAATGAATAATGTGTAATCATATGGTGATAAATAAAAGGTGTTTTATTTATGTTCATAGGTTTTGATACCATATTGGATTCAGTTATTATTGTGTTTCATTTTGCATGTTTTGACTTCCAGAATAAACTAGGTTATTGTTCTGGAATGACTAAGTTATTCAAACCATCCACATTCGGTCATATGTTGGAAGTAGATATGAATCAAGACTGTCATGGGTTGGCTTGTAGAGGTCTAAGATGTTGGGCAAAGGGCTACAACACTCATGAGTGCTCATAAGTTCTGAGTATTGGATTCAACCCGCGCTCATTGGAATCACTTCATGGATTTTATCTCGAGTGATCATGAGATGATAATATCTTATATTCTTCAAACCTAGAGATATGAGTTGTTACTATGAGTTGGTTGTACATTGATTGGACGAAAACGCATTCGGTAACTCGGTGTTATAAAATGTGCCTTTGTGTATGATTCAACAAGTAGCAAAATAAGCCATATGAGTTGAAGTTTATCCATTCCTTTTACCTTCGGGATAAAAGTGATATCAGTGGGCCCCTCGATGATTTAATGATGACACATGTTAGTGCTTGGCCAAGCCAGGATTGATTTGATTTGTTCAATTAGTCAGTCGTCATGAGTCGGAAATCCGGAATCAACAAATGGACAGAGATAATGACTATAATCCATGTCTTAATCCATATGATATCTAGAATGGAGGAATATATGATCCCTTATCTAATGGACAAGTTTGTTGACAAGATCAGAGTTCGACAGCGGCTTTAAGAGCTACCATTTCCAGTTAGGTTTTGAATTCATACTCAATAATAGTTTTGGACTTATCCAAGTGGGAGACTGTTGGATTAATGTCTAAGTCCATAACTATATTTGGTATGTACTTGACCCAACCCAGCATGGTCCATTTGGGTTACACTTCAGCAACACAATTTATTTGGATAGTCTTTTGAGAATAGTATATTTATGATTAGTATTAATATATTATAAGTTTTAATATATTAATATGGAATCATATTATTTAATTAGTATTGATCAAAAATTAATTTAGAATTAATTAAGTGATCAAAATGAACTAATTAAATATGGACTCTTATATATATATGGAATGGGCCAAGTTCAATTAGGTTGGGCTAAGCTCTCATGGATAGTCCATGGAGTGTTTAACCCATGGATCATATGAAATGAAAGGTCATGGGTTTAACCCTAGTATCCATACTATATAAAGATGTCATTGGTTGGTGAAACTGGCACCAGTGTGGTACACTAAGAAGGGCTAGCCAATTTCACTAGAGAGAACCAAGTATCCATATTCTCTAAAGTCTTCCAAGGTGTTTTGGTGATTTGTGATTCCACTTGAGGCTTCCACACTGTTGGGGCTAAGCTCTTAAAGCTTGAAGACATCAAGCTACATCAAAAGGTATGTCATCTAACTAGTACTTTGTAGTATAAGAACTTCATAATATGCTAGTTAGGATTAAAGCCTTGGATAGTTCTTATTTGCATGTATAATAGAGAAAACATATATCCAAGGTTTATAGGGTTGCATGTACACCATAGGAGTGTTAGAATGCTCAAAACCCAATAGCTCACGCATCTCCGACTCCAGCTCCCAGGTCCGCTCAGACCCCTTCCGATGTTGCCATTGAACCTGCACCAGGGACACTTCCTTGTTCCTCAGAACCTTGATCTTCTGATCCCGGATCGCGATTGGTCTCTCATCATAATTCAGGCTCGCATCCACCTGAATACTCCAGCGGTACCACCGCCGATTCGTCGGATATACAATTCCTCAACTGAGACACGTGAAAGGTATCATGAATATGGCTCATCTCCCTAGGTAGCTCCAACAGATATGCTTCCTTGCCCACCCTTTCGTTCACCCTGAATGGACCAATGTATCGGGGCCCTAGCTTGCCCCTCTTCCTGAATCGGATCACTCCCTTCTAAGGACATACCTTCAGGAGTACGAAGTCTCTTACCTGGAACTCAAGCTCGGATCGTCGTCAATCCACATAACTCTTCTGATGACTCTGAGCCGTCAGTAACCTTTGTCTAACCTGTTGTATTTGCTTTGTCGTCCACTACTAGAAAAAAGGCCTTTTACGACGCTCATTGCACGTCGTAAAACGCTCAGACGACGCGCAAATGCGCGTCAAGGAAGGCCCTGTCATAAAGAGAGATGACGCGCTTTTGCGCGTCATCTATAGACGACGCGCATTTACGACGCGCATTTATGACGCGCATTTACGACATGCGGTTATGACATGCAATGCGTATCAAGGAAGGCCCTGTCATAAAGGAAGATGACACGCATTTGCGTGTCGTAACCTTACGACGCGCGTGTTTATGACACGCAATGCGTATCAAGGAAGCACCAGTCAAGAATGGCCATGTCATAAATGAAGACGACACACATTTTTGCGTATCGTAATTTTAATTTTTTTAAAAAAAATATATTTATATATTTATTAATTTATAAATTAAATTTGCATTTAATCTCTCATAATAGAAATAAAATACCATATACAAAAAATACAATCCATTGCATTTAATTTGTATGTATAACAAAGACACATGTGTTAAACTTGTTACCATTAACATCTAATCGTATGGACTCGAGTGTTAAACTTGTTACCATTAATATCTAATTCATAAGTCCTTTCAACAAGATTGTTACCTGCATAAATGAAAACAAACAGGAACATTAACAGCCCAGCTATGAACAATATTGTTACCTGCATAAGTTACTAAGAGACTTATATACTTAGCTGGTTTGTAATATGGCACTAAGAAGCCCAAGAATTGTTTGTGTGTTTCTTGCTCCTGGTGGATCCTACATAGACAAAAGGTAAGAATTAACATTTTCAAAGTAAATATAAGAAAAAGGCATTATAGTAATTACCTCCATGCAATACTCAATGTTCTACTGGATAAGATGATTTAGAATCTCTGGTACATATCATAAGGATCCCAAAATCATATAGTTGGTTATTGTTTAATTGTTTAATTTATAACATTCTTCCTAGGATAAATGATGTTTATAAAAATATTTGAGAAGCCATACTCAAATATATATATATATATATATATATATATATATATATATATATATATATATATATATATATATTAAGTTCATTAAGTCAAAAAGAAACTAACAATTATAAACTTAAAAAGGATACTTGGGTCCACAACTTCAACAAAATTATCTGAGTTTAGCAACAAGATGTACTCTTTACCCTGAAAAGCATGATTGAGGTAATCTTGTTAAGTCTTATAAATTTAAAATGTTAATATAAAAAAATAAGAAAATGGATAGCTGGCTTTACTTGTAATAATAGTTCATCAATTTTGCCACTCTTCTTCAAGGAGAGCAAAGCCTCCTACTGATCAAAAGCATACCTTTTTGCAAAAGGAAGAATTAAAAATAATTATACCATGTAGATATATAAATCAAGAATGAAGGGGAATATGAATATCCTTAGAACTTTAATTTTACTCATTAAAGTAAAGAAACAAATAGATCATACAGTGGTTTATCCTAAGAAATTCCTTTGACATCATTCTCTGGAACTTGATCCTATAACAAACACATAATGTCATTGAGAAGTGACAAGATATGTTAATAGAAAAAATAAATAGATAAAAAGCTGATGCAGATGGGTTGTCCATTGTAAAAGCAACAATACCCTGGGCAACATCTTAGTTTAATTTAACACCATGGACTTAAAAATAAAAATAGGAATTAAATGTACCTTATGTGCTGCTCAACTGACTTGGGTGGCAGCATCACTTATGGCATAAACTGTATTACTAAGAAGACTAGTAGTTCCTTGTGTCATGCATGTGATGAGTCCTGCTGGACTCTTCTATGTACGAGGGAAATCAGTAACAAAAAAAAAAAGCATACCAGAAACATATGGAAATAGGGGGCCAACGGACTGAAGATAGTAGAGATCTTCGAATAATTTGAATAAAATCAGATTAATAGCTTGCACCAGTTGTTGTAGGGTGCCATTCACTGTTACAAGCCTATTATTTAATCCAATATAGTTGTGACCCTGAGGGGAGATCTTAATGTTAGGTCCATAGTCTTCAATGAAGGACCTGTAAATGTAATAACATATAAAAAATGGAAGTTTAAATTTATTCAAATATAAGCATGTTAGATCTGATTTTCTTTGGTGTGTTTGTACAGGGGGTGAAGTTATGGATCAAATGCAGATACCCTATCGACAACCCTTCCATTTCCCATGTTTTCCATTATTTTCTCAATATAATTTTCAAACATCAAATGAGATAATTAAAGGTTTACTGCTGCTTGCACAAGCCTCTGTATGTTGAATCGCTACACCCTGGAAACTCCCCAATTGCTCCTTCAAATGAGATAATTAAAGGCTTTCCTTTTCCTGAAGCAACAAGGGATCTAATTTATGATTTATGATGAATATATATATATATATATATATATATATATATATATATATATATATATATATATATATAAATGTTAAATGATTGTGTATAAAATGACACACTTGACTGAGAATGTTTTTTCCCAATATGAGAAAAACAACCTGCATGGTTGTAGAAATATTAACTTATGGAAATAGAATGTTATTTCTTGCATTCAACCTTTTTCAATATATGCAGAATCATATCATGAGATTTAAAGGGTACAAAACTTACTAAAAGCTGCTAATGGAGTCACTGGATTATCGGAAAGCACACCATCCACAGAGAATCTGCCATTATCCACAAAATACAGATACGCTTCTACAGTGACATAACTGTAATTATATGCAACTTGCACATCATTCATGAAATCTTAACCAAATACTTGTAAACCCTCTTTGTTGGCATCCAAGATCAATGAGGTAGATGGTTGTAAATAGAAGTCATTGTCCACATGCCATATGTATGATTTAGGAACTAAAACACCAGAAACAAATGTATTGATAAATGTCAGATTTTTTAAAAGTGAACCATATGTTTAATTGGTTGAGGGCTTAGTCTTGTTCACTTCTAGAAATCTGAAAATTAGTTTTTCGAGTAACACACATGTTGACAGCCTGGACAATGATCATTTTTAAAACAGTTTGAAAGGTGAGAATCAGAAAAGAAGGGTACTGGTGTTAATGTATCTCAAGAAAATAAGGTTAAAAGTGGAAGAGTTTTGGAAATATTTGGGTTCTTGTGTGCAGAAGGGTCTGTTTTGTGTGTTTTTCTTTTGTCTTGAATAACAAACAGATTTCTGGGGAAGTGAGTGTAGTTAGGAAAGCGCTTGAATTTTAATTGAAAAACTTTAAGTTTATTATATCAAGTATCAGCTTACATTGAAGAAATGGATTGTAGGTCCCAGATGAGCAGATATGTGCTCCCCAAGATGCAGTTCTTCGTGTACAGACAAGGATATTTTGGGCTGCACCTGTGACCAAGCCAGTTACAGCAAAAGTCATTGTGACAGCAAAAGTAATTGAGATGCAGCACTTGGAGCATTAACATCATTTTAGTACCTGCACATTGAAACCAAACAAGAAGACATTAAACAAGGAGAAAGAAAGAGAAAAGGGATCCCTTCAGAAATTTATCACTAAAACCTATTTGAAAAATTCTAGAGAAAGAGATAACCCACCTTAAGACACCATCAACAGGTTTAACAAGAGGCTCCCAAGCTTCAAGTTTATCATTATATGATCTGGCGGCCAATGAGAAGCAAACAGTGGCATTGAGGTAATCAAGCCTGCTATGGAGACTAAATCCAATATTGCTCAATGATATGTTAGATAATGGTTTCATCTGCAATTCCAAACATATAAAACAATTCAGATCCTAGTTATCAATGCGGAGGATAACACTAAACCATTTATAAATATCCAGGGGGAGCCTGAGGCAGCCACAAAGATATATTTTCAACGCCTTTATGTTTCTTTATTTACCCGAAAAGTTGAAAACGAACAGGAGCTTTAAAAGGCTCATCATCTTCAAGAAGAGTATTATCCACACGTTAAAATGCCAATCCAGGAGAACTTCTGCAAATTAAAGAAAAATTCAATAGAATACTCGAGACCTAGGTATGGTAGCATTTATTGAATTGGGAATTTCACATATATGTCACCAGAGTTACTTGTGATGCAGTCCCTTAGCGCACATGTAGATACCAAAGAAGCATGTATACAGAAGGCGGAGGAGGGTGAAGGTTGTGTCATTCGTGATTGTAGCTGAACAGTCTCTAATCTTCTTCAAATAGATTTTGGTGCGAGACTGGATCAACTGCTGATGCAATCGTATACGAATCGACAAAATCAAGCAATTGAATCAAAAAATGAAGTTGTTTATTCATCATTAGTTTTCATCCCCCAAACAGAGGAGGAAATTGAGATAATCAATGGGTTCGAGCCGCCGTTAGTGGTGGTGGAGTTTCTGTTTAGCCGCTTTCGCTATAGAGATGTAGCAAGGTACGAGGTGAGATCTAGGGTTCGAGCATGAGAAAGAACTGTTATAGGATCGTTGGTGATTAGATTTCATTGGTGGGTGGAGATGCAGAAGAGAGAACACGCAGTAGAGAAAGGGGGGGGGGGGAAGTTCTTGACAAAAGCCCTAGGTCCGATTGGATTCCGTCATCGACGAGGCCTTTGACGCTGGTTTTTGTTTTGTCGAAAGCTTTGAGCTCCGATTGTCGATCGTAGGTTGAGCCCGCTCAAGCAATGGTGGCAGCCATTTTTGTGAAGATGATCGTGTTATATATGCGAAGGTATTCTCTAGAAAGGTGAGTGAGCATCCTTGCAATTGTGGCCCTATGAACGTAAAGTGTTTGATTTCTTGTGAGAAATGAAGCAATAGAGATCGATCTATGGAGGATGTGGGTCGTTCTTTGAGGGATGAAAAAACCCTAGTTTCTTAGACTTTTTGAGTACGGGGTTTTCTAAATTTTAGATTCCCGCGAGGTATTAAGGATGGGACACGATGTTTGATGAGATCGATAAGGAGGTCAGGAGTGGCGGGGAAGCGGATCAGAGAGGAGAGAGAAGGAGGGAGAGGGGAGAAGATGAAAGATAGAAAGAAGGTAGAAGATGACTTTTCAAAATTTTGGGGATTTCGTTTCCCACCTCTACTAAGCGCGCGTTTTCATTAAAATTAGAAAGTGACAAATATAGATGACGCGCCTATAAAATAAAGCGCCCTCCGTGTTTTTAATTTCTTTTCGTGAAACACTAATTTAAGGGCACTTAGTAATGCGCGACCTAAATTCTTAAATTTTTTGAAGAGATGACTCTTTTTTAATGTCGCTCTCTAATGCGTAACATAAATCAAAGAGCGTCGTGTTTTGCGCGTCGTAAAAGGCTGTTTTTCTAGTAGTGGTCTAAAGCACTATCTCAGTGCTGCCCATCACACACTGCCCTACCTCTCCCCAGCAAATATGAGTCCGACACCTCCTCCCATACAACAACTCGAAGGGAGGCATACCAATACTAGAATGATGGCTGTTGTTGAAGGAAAAATCTATTGGATTAGTGTTTAAGCCCGTAACCATATTTGGTAAATACTTGACCCGGTTATGCATGGTCCTTTTGGGTTGCCTTCACCAAAGCAACTTGAATGGAGAAACAAATAGAGAAAGAGGTTATTATGATTTATTAATATGTTATAAGAATAATATATTAAAGGATAAATCATATTTGTTTAATTAATATTGGTCAATAATTAATTAGGAATTAATTTTGTGATCAAGTGTAATTAATTTTGTGAAACAAAAATGAAAACTGTAAGCACGAAGCTTAGTGAGTTCCCCCATCATACCACATACCATACAAACATAAAACATAAATACTGCCAGGCATATCTGGGTGCCCAACATACCGCTTCGGTCATTTCGACCAGACATTGCCTAGCATATCTGGGTGCAGGCCTCCCCTTCGATCCTTTCGACCGCATATTGCCAAGCATATCTGAGTGTTAACCTCCCCTTAGGTCCTTTAAACCGGGCATCAGGGACTATTTCACTCCTCTACTACTACCACATAACATATATCACATAATCAAAATCCATTTTTGGCCTTATCGACCGGTAATATTGGGGACTATCTCCCCTACTGCTACTATCACATAACATCATAACATACTAGCACATAAGCATATCAGGTAGTAGCAAACCTAGATGAATATCAGAAATACAATCATCTAACATATAACTGATGGGTTTCAGCCATAAGAACATCTTATGTGCTCATACAAACCCTAATGCTTGGATCTAGGTTTCTCTATTGTAGATGCAATTCATCCAAGACTATAAACCCTAATTCTAGCATATGATAATCGATATTAACATAATAATGGGTTTAAGATATTACCTTGATTGTTATGTAGCAATAACAATCAGAATTCCTCCTGGTAATGACTTTAGAAAGCTTAGAGTCACAAATGCCACTCCTCTAATGGTTCACAAACACTAAGAGCAAGAGGATGAAGAACAAGGAGAGTGGAGGCTGCCCAAAATCGTCCAAAACCCTAGAGGATCTCATCACCACGTTTTTGGGGCCTAAGGGTGCTATTTATACATGTAGGCTATTAGGGTTTTAAACTAGGAAACCCTAATCTGACTGCTTAAGCCCTAAGCAGCCCATGGATTCCTTTGGTACATCCCTTGGACGATTTCTAATGGGCTTTCCCATAGAATTAGTCCAACTTATATATTATTAAGTAATCCATAGCCCAAATGCAATTATCTTATCCAGTCCCTTAAGTTTAATTAATCTCTTTTAGCCATAAAATTAGTTATCAATCAATTCTTGACTAATATTAATTAAACAATATGATTTCTCCTTTAATATATTATTCTCATAATATATTAATAAATTCATAATTAATCCTCTCTCTCAATAATTCATCCTATCAAGTTGCTTTGGTGAAGGAAACCCAAAAGGACCATGCACCATCGGGGCAAGTTCATACCAAAATAGTTATGGACTTAGACACTAATCCAACAGTCTCCCACTTGGATAAGTCTAATGACTATTCCGCGTATGACTTCAAATCCTGATCTGCAATCGTAGCTTTCTAAAGCTGCTGTCTACTCTGTTCTTATCAGATACGTGTGTCCTTTAGATAAGGGATCATATATTCCTCCATTCTAGATATCGTAAGACTTGAATTCTAATCATTCTCTCTATACTATTTCCCGACTTCCAATTTATGACGACTGACTAATTGAACAAATCAAATTAGCCCTAGCCTGGCCGAGCCTTTACGTTTGTCATCACTAAATCACCGAGGGACCCAAAGATATCGCTTTTTTCCTACTTTGGATAAAAGGAACAGATAAACTTTGACTTAATGTTCGCTTGCACTCACTTACCGAATCACACGCAACAATATGTTTTATGACACCAAGTTACTGGTGCATTTACATATTATCAATGTGCAACCGATTTGCAAGATACAACTCACACATCTCGGTTTCAAGAATATAAGATGTTATCGTCTCACCAATCACTCACGATGAAATCCATGAAGTGATCCAAGTGAGCGTGGGTTTAATCCAATGCTCAAATCATATTCATAAGCACTCATGAACATTGCAGCAAACATTTTCTTATGTCTAATACTCTTTAGACAATCCACACACCAATTCACGATAGTCTTCATTCATACCTACTTCCAACATATGAACGACTGTGGCACGTTTGAATAATTTGACTGTTCTTAACCAATTAAATTATTCAGGAAGTCAAAACATGCAAAGTGAAACACAAGAATAATACTAATCCCATATGGCCTCAAACCTTTTGAGTATAAATAAAACACCTTTTATTTATCACCATATCGATTACTCATTATTTGTTGTTTCGGGTAATCAACTTCTTACTTGAATTACAACACTTGTCCCATGCTCTCAGCATGCACACAATGTTTACCTATGGTTCTTACTTTGTGAAATAGATCAAATGAACACATTTCCAATCATACTCATTCCACAACTTCCGATCCTTATCACAAGTGTAAGAATATCAAATTCTTGCCACTTATAGAATATGTTAGATTCTAACATTTTATGCAATGATCCTTTCGTAATGTCACTCCATTAAAGTCATAGTGACTATTGCCAACGAAATTACAAAGTCCTCTATCGGAGATTGTTACAAGACAATTCCATAGATGTGATGTCTCTCACTCAAAGTACATTTCTTTGAACATCCTTTTGCATAAAGTTTCTAATCTAGACATAGATTCTCAATATCTAACTCCCAATATGGAAACCTTTCCATACTTACCATATGAGAACTTATTCTTAATAGAATCTTATTTATTCATAATAATGTCGATATACTCCATCAAGTACTATACTTCCAACTACTCACAAGCAACCACTCCTCGGTGAACTTTGGATTATCCTTTGATAGTTGTTTAATTATCTTAGTCAAAACCGATTCTTTTCCTTTTTCCCTCTAAAATGCGCTAGACATTTGGAAAATTTTAGAATGGTCAAATATTATAGCATTTGCAATCGATCCTATACCCGAAGCGTATGGGACACGATTCATAATACCTTATATAAAGATTTGATACTTTATCAATCTTCTGCCATAATATTCTATGTACTATGTTCTTACAATTCGAATTATGAAGAGGAATCCCCGTAATCATAATCGAAATTTACGAACACACTATGTATCCTTGACTAAATTTATTAACATTCCACAACCTAAGCCTTTAGTTTTTAAATGAAGCGTAATATTCTCTGCCTTAATTATAGCAAAACAATTATTCAACCCTTACAACTTTGCAAAGTATGACTCTTGTTTTCTATAATTAATATTGCTAACTTCCAATACTTGCCGTAATAATCATACAGTCATAACATTTATGCTCCAACTATCATGATGATTATTATAAACATAACACTTATGCTCCCACTAGCTTTGACATGTATTCAGAAAACAACTTAACTTCCAGAAAAACAATACTTATTGAATTTCTTAAGTTCATGTTTCTAATACCTAATGCTATGATAATCCTTTATCAAGGCTTCTCAAACTTATACACCTTTGCCTTAGATAACTCATATGTGTGTCTAAATAATTAATACTAATTTCCAAATCTCACAATTCGAATCATGGAAAGGGATACTGTAACCATAATCGAATTTGAGAATACAATTTTGCAATTGCTGTCTTCTTAAAATCTCTCTTAGTGAAAGCATTTCCTCACA